AAATATTGATGTTGATTCTGGATTAATATTGTTTGCACGCGTAGAATCATGTTAATAAATTGTTCCGCGTTGGTTACGTCAAATTCGGGGATCATAGGTAGGCATTTTTCATACTTGTCTATCTTATCTATTTCTTGCGCTTCTGTCAGTAATTCTTCCGGTAATTGAGGGTAGATTCGCTCTGTTATTCTACTCGCCGGAGGAATTGGTTTGTTATCTAATCGTGCTTCAAGATTTTGTAATTTATCATTGACTTTAATTAATTTCTCACACAGGTTGTGTAATACAATTTCTGTTTGTGTCATTGCGGGAGATTGTGGTCGCGACATTTCTGGAGCAGTCGTGAAATCTCTCTGCAGGATTTCGCTCAGAGTTGAGTCCGTAAGACTTACGTTTGTTCTGCCTTGTCTCCAAGATGTCCAAGAATTGTTCCGATCCAGTTTTGCTGTCCTAGCTGCCGAATTTAGTCGTGACTTCGCAGATCGCTTCGTTGGATCGCAGGTTCGTTAATATACAGAATATCGTGAAGATTCTCAAAGAGATAACTAGAAAACACTAGTAGATTGTCCTTCACTTTCGACAAATGTCAATATCCCGCACAGCTGCCACCATTTATGTTGTAATGTAAGGTTCCAATTAAAGAATAAAACTTTTATTTCTGAATGATACAATAGTATGATCTTATTTCTTAAACCGCCAGTATGCTAATGACGCCGGCTCGATTCATTATCGGTAAGTATGCGGAGTCTAAATGACTCATACGTGCGCGCCATGCGCAGTAGCGGGTGAGAGCGTCGACGGTTGACCGACACCGCCACCGCGCCGGGACGTGACAGGTGACATTGTCGGTAAATTTTCAAACATTTTTTTTATTTTTTGGTTTAAATTTGACCAACTGCCGAAAAATTAGCATATGTACTTTATTTACACCAAAGGATTTGTAATTCTATTAAAGCAATAAAAAACGCCACTCTTTTTAGAAAATTGAAGTTTCGGTCGGTAACAATATGACTTCAGCATCCTCTTAAATGTATGGGATAAATTACTGATGATGTTACATAATATTCGCCGCACATATATTGGCAGATTTGTTCTAATGGTTCTATTGTAATTACTAATGTGTTTTACACTTTTAATTCGTCCACGGTTAAGCAATAATTGTTGTATTTATTTTTTCGCGTTTCTGAAAATAATGATTAATGTAACATGTTGCTCTATTATTAATAAATGTTTTTCAGTAAACCTGTAATGCTTCATTAATAAATACATCTTTATTTGCTGCATTTTAATGCAAAATTTACGACAAATCCAAAAAGTTTATACTTTACTTTAATTTCTAATTTTCCTTTTAGCGATCTCATTATTGCATCTAATTCAATACATGTAACATTGTTACTTTTATTTGACAACAATGATTTTGTCAATAGATTCACATAATGATGTACAAAATATAAATGTATGTTGTTGTTTGCTAGTATAATGGTTTTTTACAGTTTTCTCTCCTTTGTATTTTACGGTGAATTTTGTAGAACACAATATACATTTAGCAATGTACGTATCAATTTTAATAAGCCAATTTTTGTATTCTTTTCGATTAAGCCAATTATCTTGAGATTTTGTTAGATACTTCTTTTCAATTTTTTTTGTTTTTGGTTCAAGAGAAGCCATTGCTTTTTATTTATTAATTTTGTAAATCTATTCAATCTGTTTATACATAATATTTTTGTATACAGTCAAGCAAAATTTTATTTTAAAGCTTTACTGTAAAAAATATAAGAAATGAATTTGCATGGCTGTCGAGAAATAACTTAAATATTATTTAAATAGATAAATTTTCATAGATAGATTTTTATCGGCACATAAATTTAATTAATTAAAAGTTACATAATAAGGTTTTTCTTTAGTTTTTGTAATCAAAATTAATTTTAGCAAATAGATTAACATTAAATATTTTGCTTTAAAAAAAATTTGAATAATATTGTCTAATATAATAATTAATTTTTCGACATATGCAATAATTAATTTTTATAATGAAATTATTTGGAAAATTCTATGAAAAATAATATATATATAATTTATTAATCATAATTATTTATTACTTGGAGTGACAGAAAATGATGAAATAATGTAAAAGTCTACTGAAATTATGTAAAATGTTATGTCGAGTCTATTCCAAACATGAAATGCTATATACTATATACTATATACTTGGCATAAGATGTTACCGCATGTTTTGATAGTTGTTAGCTAGATTTTGTAAACGTTAGCGGACGTATCAATATTTACATTCAAATGGAAAGTAGTACGTCTTCTTTCGTCTTCTCTTTTATACTTTTTGACAGAAAGGTTTTGGTATCGTATTCAGTTACACGCGTCCACTTCAAAATGTCTCAAAATGTAAACTGTATTAATAATATATGGAACTTTTATAAAAAATTAAAAAACTTCAGAGCACAGTGCAAGTTCTGCGTTAACACATATATTTATATAACGTGTGGTAGTTTTAAGATGCATATGAAATTAAATCATGAGAACATTTTTAAAAAAGAAGAAAAGAAACAGTTTAAAAACAGATTGATGTGGCCGAGTAAATATATGACACAAATAAGTGATTTCAAAGTAAAATGTAAAGAATGTAATGAAAATTTTAGTGTCTCGATAGAGAAATATTTGGATACGCATATAAAAAGTAAACATCCGGAAAAATTAAAAAATGAACAAGATGATAAAAAACAAAAAGAACGAGATATAATATGGAATCATTATAAAAAGTTGCCCGATTTTAGGGTAACTTGTAAATATTGTGAAAAAAATTACAATTACGTGACGTTAACAAACGTAAAAACGCATTTAAAATCATGCGATCCAAACATTTATAAATATGAAACAAACAAAAAAATAGATAAATTTATAAAATTATATTTTAAATATTTCGATAATACATTTGTACAATTATTTATTATTTATTATTTATTATGTAACGATGCAGCATGCATCGTCACGGCTACGGACCGAACATCGTCCGTAGCCAAAAAGGGCGCATCGCGCGCCGATAAACTTTTCACATAAACACCGACGGTCAATCGCCGGACGGCCCCCCACACCCGACCGTTTTCGAAATTTACCAGGTGGGGGTCCGCCGGCTAAACCGCCGATGCTTGCCGATCCTTCGCCAGTCGGGCGGCAGCCGGGTATAAAAGAGGCTCGACTGTACGCTTTTCCACCAGATCCCGTTCACTGCTCGCCAGTGAACGTCCTGTTGCGAGAGCACTCGTAATCCTTCGAGAATACTCGAAGTCTATGTCCAGCAGCCTCACGAGCACGAGCATACTCGTGCACCAACCGAGCATACTCGGCCCCAGGAACCGCTTCCACGTTACGGGCACACCCGTATCCTCGCCGAGCATACTCGGCTCTAGACCACGATACGAGAATACTCGTATTCCTGCCGAGCATACTCGGCCGCCAGGAACCGTCCTCCGTTCCTTCGTGCGAGCATACTCGCACGTTACCGAGCATACTCGGTTTCGTTACCTCGCATACGAGCGCACTCGTATTATAACCGAGCATACTCGGTCTCGTTACCTAAATACGAGCCCACTCGTATATTACCGAGCGCACTCGGCTTCATTCTTACATACGGGCCTACCCGTATACCACCGGGAATACTCGGCTCCACGTTAGAACACCAGCCATTTCGAGACGCGGGCAATACGCGCGTCTTCGCTCCCGTCTTCATCCTTTTAAAATCGGGTCCTCAAATCCGGCAGGCAATCGCGAACTAATCGAATCAACAGCGAACATCGAAATCACCACGCACGCGCCCGAGCATATCGATCAGTCGATCGACCGTCGACGCCGCTCGAACATATCGATCCACGCGCTCGCAGTCGCCTAGAGACAATTGCGGCACCCGCGCTTGCGCCGACACTTGCTCGTCACCGCACGACCACCGTTACACATTGTTCGACACCACCGAGATAAAATTATAACCCGCGTTCAAACAAAGATATTAAACGCTTTGTATCCACGCGGATTTGTATATAGCAGCCTCTTCATCAGTTGAGAAATAAATCTTATTTTATTTTATTCTTTCGCTTTACTCATTTCATCCGAGCATTCTTTTACGTGCCCCCAACCGACCGAACTCCTGACTCCGACGAGTTATTCCGCGTAAAACACCGTACCGTTTCATGGCGCCCGAAACAGGGACCAGATAAAGGGGCACGCCAAAAGGATCCACTCGCAATGACCGCGTGGATACAGCAATTAGCGCGCTCCGAAATATCGCGACTCTTGCAAAGCCGCAACGTCGATTGCACCGGCACTTTAGATGACCTCCGACGCCGGTTACGCGAATACGTCCGCGCAAATCCGGGGGATATCGCACCCCCGAAACCCGAGGCATCCGACACCGAGGGCCCCGCGCCCGCCCGCGAAGCTTTAAATATTCCGTCGCTACGGCTCCCCGCCAATTCTTACGACGACGACGATCGAGCGAGTTTCTACTCGACCTCCAACCCTCCGGTCCCCATAGCCAGCCCATTTGATCCGGCAAAAACCATGGACCAGATCCGCAAGTGGGGATGCCATTTTGATGGCAGGGATCCGGCCGCGTTCCTCGAACGACTCGAAGAGCTAAGGGAGGGGTACCACTTCTCCGGGGCCCATCTCCTCCTCGGGTTGCCCGAGATTCTAAAAGGCGAGCGTTACTATGGTTTCGAAACCGCCGCCACGCGTGGAAAAACTGGGGGATTTCCTAGGGGAATTTCGCGGGCATTTCTTACCACGCCGTTACCAGGCCCGCCTACGACGGGAAGCCACTAGCCGCCGCCAGCTACCGGGCGAAACTTTCAAAAAGTTTTCAACCGCACTGCTCACAATCGCGCGCCGCGCTGGGGGGTTCTCAGAAGCCGAAACGATCGATCTATTAATCGAAAATATGGAC